AAAAAAAAAAAAAAAAAAAAAAAAAAAGGACAAAAAATCCCCACAATGTCCACAATGCCAAGAGTTTTAATTCCGCTCAGAAGTAATACCTAGTTTGTTCTCTCTCTCCCCCTCCAGGGCGGCAGAGCCCCGAGGATATCCCGGACGGCGGCTCCCCTCCTCGGACCTCTTCGGCCGGGCTCACCGTGTCCTTGCCCGCCGCCGCAAAGCCGCCTTCCTCCGCGCTCGGGCAGCACCCGCTTCTCCTCGCGGCGCTGCTCAGCTTTGGCAGGGACCGCGAAGTTGCACAAAGAGCACGTTCACAGCATCGCGGGAGCCCCGCGCTGGCGCTTTGTCCCCGGCGCTGGCCACTGCTGCGCTCCCCGCCCGCAGCGAGGGCTTCCGCGAAGGCTGAGCCAGCCCTAAACCTTCGCTCGGCTCCAGCTCCCTCGTCGGGATCGTTTCTGTTTCTCCCCCTCCTCTCCACTCTCCTCCCCACCCCTCGGCTCGCTACAATCCGCCGCTCTCCTTTTCCTCCGGGCTCCTCCGTCCCGCCGCGCCCCTCCTCCCCTCGCCGGGCTCCCCCCACGACCCGTGCGAGGCCCGGGCTGGCGCAGCACGCGAGCAGGAGCGGGGGAGCCCCTGCGACCGCCAGGCCCGGCGCTCGCGGGGAGCGAGGAAGGGGGGCTGTTCCCGTGCCGGGGTCACATCCCTCCCTGGCCCCCGGCTCCCCTCTCCTGGCCCCGGCGGCGGCGGCTCGCGGGGCGGAGCCGGCGGCCGAGCCGCCCCCTCTCCGTCTCCGCCGTCGGTTCGGGCTTGTGCAGCTCCCGCTCTTCCCAGCCCGGCTCTTCTCGTAGGGGAGCCCCGCGAGGGACCGCCCTGGCCGCCGTGTGCGGGTTGCCGGCCCGGCGCTGCTGCGGTGYCGTTCTGGTGGGCACTGCCACGGGCACGCGTGGCTGCAGGCGGCCCGCGCGGCCGCACCTCGCTGCCGGCACCGGGTGGGGAGCTCCCGTGCTGCACTGAGGGCAGACACCGCGCGGACGGTGATTCCCGGCGGGTCCCGAGTTGCGCTGCCGGTATCCACGTCGCCATACGGCATCTGCTGTTATTCCTTCAACCTGGATTGAAGTTAGAATGTTGTTTACCGGTGCTGCACCACCAAAGTGCTGAGAATAAAGTATCATAGGGAGGGCGGAGGTGCTGCTCTGYTTCAAGGTACCAACAAACCTCCAGTCTGTCTTAATTCCCAGCCATGGCCTGGATRAGCACAGGGAATCTTCAGGAATGGGCAAATTCCAGAGGAGTACCCCAGCTTCCAGCATAGGTTCATGAAGGACTGGAAGCAAATTTCTGAATCACTCCTGTTACCTGCACATAAAGTAGAGCCCCCCTACCCACTCTGCAAATGTCACTGTGCTGAATCTGGATAAGTGCGAGTGGAAAAAAGCATTCTGAGAACCTTCTGACTCTACCTACCCTACTAGCTAGCAAAGCACACAACAAGGAAGAAGGACACAAAATGGCAGCTGTCCTGAGCTACCAGGCAAGCACCGTGTGTCCATTAGGACTGAATGGGAAGTAACAGCAAAAAAAAAGTGGCTTACAGTTTCAACAGAAAATTTTCTGATAACAAAGAGTGGAATTTTGGGCTTCTGCTCCCAAGGTAACTTGCTTTGATCTGAAGTATGAGCTTCACAAAACACACAATATGAAGTGATTCCTTTTAGAGTGAAACATATGTATGTACAAATCCACATAACCATCTAATTGCACTGAAAAAAGTACTAACTTTTAAAAGAAGCACAGATGGAGTCACATCTCTGAGTTCAAAAAGTTAGGGCTATTTTCCATACAGTGCAATCTTTCCTAGCAGTTCTGTATATATGTAGCATAATCTAAGCCCCTACATCTTCCCAGACAGCATAGTTTCTTTCTTAATCCTCTCTGTGGGGGTTTCTAGACACCAATTACTACAACCGTCCTTTCTCCCACCCCTATGATTTAAAAGCCTGATTTAAAAGAAAATGACTTCAGGAAGTATTTTAGGTACTCAGCTCCAACCAGCATCTAGCCCTTATTCAGTTCTGTTTTATTTTCGAAAGTATGATTTCCTTTTTTTYCCCCTCTTTTTACTACCAAGAGGAGCATCTCACCCATAGAAAGAAGTGAGGCTCTACCATAGAACTAGGGGCAGGATAAAGGATCTGTAGCTACTTTCCTCAATAGCTGCAGAAACAGTTCCTCCCCTCCATGGCAATGGAATATTCCCCCCAAACCTCCTCCTCCCTGTGGAATGGAAGCCAAGAGTTAAAGAGCTGCAGTTCTGAATGGGGAAGTTTGGGCAAAGTTCCTGGGCTACAGACACACACACACACACACACACACACACACACACACACACACCCACACACACACACACGCTCCTCACTAATGCACCATCCAAACCCACTGTTTCAAATAGCACTGTCTGGAAGAGCAGATAGTGGTGAATCCCACACTGGGGATTAACTTTAAGGCACTGTTTAAATGTTCTCTCCTTGCTGCTGCTGCAGGATTTTGCAGTGAGTGCATTTATGTGCCTAAAAGTATTTCCACTTTTTGAAACTTTCATCTGTTAGGCACATTGTTGCCTCTTGCCAAAATCTTTTCCAAAATGTAAGCATTCCCACTCCCAATGTGACGGAAGAAAGAAACAAAACCTTTCAATCCCAAACTGGCACAGATGCTGTGTGCACTCCGGTTAATGACCAGCATGTTACGTGTGACAAAAATACACACCTTATACAACTGTGTTGCATGAGATAGACAGATAAGTGCCCTAACCTACATAGGCAGACATTTATTTTATTGATACAAAATTCCACATAATAAATTCAGACACAGATATGCAGACACATGGTCAGATCTCCTAGTACCTAGAACAAAAGAAGGTGTGCTTCTTAAAACAATACATGGAACAGCAAAGCGTAATCCATCTCATAAATCTCTCTGTGTGGAACATGTTGGGTCCTGAGGAGAAAAGAGATGGAATTTGCAGGGCAGACCACACAAACCAGAGAAAAAAAAACACCCATAAGAGAATAGCTGAGGAGGATAAAAGAGGAGGGGAGGGACTGAGACAAGGGCGATAGAGTTTCAAAGGAAAAAGAAAAAGGAGGGTGAGGGAGAGAGAGAGGTGGGAGACAGGGGCAGAGAAAACAAGATATGCACAGAGCAACCATGAAAAACACACAGGGAAAAGAAAGGGAAGCAAGGAAAAGAGGGAGGAGCTGAGAATAGCAAACAGCAGTCAGAGGAAAGGGTAAGAAGGGAACTATTTATATATGAGAGGACATGTTTGACAAACAGTTTTTAAGCAGAACTGTTTTCAGTAAGTTCTGCTTCAAGAAGATTTTTTCAAGGCAAAGTTATTCTTCTAAAAATCTAAAACAGCACATATTCCTTTCCAGATTTCTTAAAAAAATTGTACAGATGTTAGATGTAAATTAGATACTTTTTTATACTCATATTTTATTCCTTTTTGGGTATTGTATACACAATACAATTCTTAAGTATTGTTTCGTCTGATGAAGTATAAGTCTATTTTCTTCCTAAAACATGAAGACAGCCCAACATAGAAAGAAGGGAAACTTGGAGACAATGAATTAGAGATAAGAGAATAGAATTTAGAGAAGCTTGAAACTTCTATATAAGGACTATGTAAGGACTAAGGAGCAAAATAGAATAGGATAAAAGATATGATCCTACATCCCTCTAGAGGACAGGCTCTTGGTAGTCATTAGCATCCAGTCATGCATTTGCTTGTTTATTTGTAATTTCTATCACAGGTAATGAGATTTTGTGGAAGAGGAGGGATTTCTTGTAGGCCTGGACCCTTGCTGGAAAGAAGCAACATGTTTCTGCTTACAGAGTGGGCTGTTATCCACTTTGTGCCTTTTCTGCCCTCTCTCACTTCTCCTTAGAATACTAACTTTCTAGAGCTTTCAGGAAAACAAATTTAAACAAGGAGAAAAAGTCTCCAGTTAAATATCCACCCACCCATAGTTTTGATGACTGCTGATGATACATGTATTAATTACATGTATCATTCTCAAGCATTAATAGTGCTAGAGCAGTATTTGTCCATTGGAGGCTACAATCTAAATGTGCATCTGTCTATTTTTCTATCAGTTTATCACTCTGTTAGTTTGCCTGTATAATCCAACCATTTTGACATATGCATCACTCAAATTGATCACTGCTGTTCATTTTAGTAATACCTAGAAAGAAGCCCAGCCAATTACGCCCTAGCCAAGGATTTTGAGAAAACTATGGGAGGAAAGTGGCTGCCTGCAAATCCATGCCTGGTTTTACAAGAGGCCCAGTTCCATGCTGGGACTGGGCACTTTGGGTGTATTTAGTCAATTCTGTGCAGACCTGCAGTCCAGCTGGGTGTGTTCAASACCAGCTGCTGGCTCGTTACCTGAATGCCCTGACCGAGTGAATTAATTCAAAGCTTGCTGGGACATCTGATGCTGCAGGGATTCTTCAGTTGCAAGGAGGGGAAATAAAGCCCACGAGCCCTACAGTTAGGGATAAATGACAAAAAGASGCATATTTGTCTTGTGTATGACATTACTGAAGCCTTTAGAATTCAAACAAAGTATGAATGTAAAGGCATCTCTCTTATAAACACCATCTCTTCCTGCTTTAATTGCTCAGTCTCCTCCGTAAAAGACTCTTTAATCACTCCTTAACAAGAATTAAAATTTTGATTTTATCTGCCATACCTTTACTGTATTCCATCAAGCACTTCAGACTAGATGTTTCAACTTGTTCATCCATTTTGATCTATGTCCCAAATTCCATTCAGTAGCCTTTTTTTTTTTATTTTCTCTTTTTCTTTCAAGAGTTTGTTGCATCCCTGATGTTTCAGCAAAGCTTGAACAATGCTTGAGATTTTTTATTTCTGCTGGACTTCTGAATTACAGAATCTACACGTTTGCTAGAATTACTTTTGTCACTATTGTTTGTTTGACTTGAAGGAGCATTGAAATAAACTGTGATTTTGCTAGTGTTCTGCTGCTTCAGTAAGAACATTTTGGAAGTATTCTGTACTTAGATTCAGATCATAGTTGCTAATCTGAAGGCCAGAAATCTGCCTAAGATTTCAAAAAGTTCTGTTTTCTATTGCATGCTTATGCTAGCAGAACAAATTGACCAACAGCTGTGTAGATGAGAGGGACAGTTACTTTTCTTAAATGCTTTGGGATTTATACTGCCACTTAAAAATGATCCTCCTAAAAAGGTTTCATAGCATAGGACATTTTCTTGGAAACTCAACAGAAAACAAAGACTGCATGCGGGAGGGCAGAGAGGAGAAGTGTTTCCAAGTGAAACACTTCCAAGAAGATCACTATGGAATGAAGATGGGATTCTTGGCTGTGAAGAGGCCCACAGGAAGTTACGTAAGGCACATRGTGGCTTTATGTTTTCTTTTGGTTTCAGTTATGGATAATGCTGCTTGGACCACTCTTYGGCACAGTACAGGGCATATGAGTGTCCTCAAAGGTACAGTGAGGGATTAGGTAAATGACTGCAGTTCCAGTTCAGCTCTTTCATACACATGAAAAATGGATATGAAGAGAGAACTAAAAACTTGGTTTGGATTGGATTAATATTATTTCTTTTATGAGAGAAAAAAGTGGAAATTTTAAACTTAACAATTCATTTTGTTTAGCATGAAACAGTCCATTTAGTTTATTTATTTCAGGAATTCTTGAAAGAAGGAAATGAATGGCTACATACATAAATCTGCTAGAGGAAAAACTGTGTGTCAYGTACAGAACATGCCTGTAGCTTGGTAGTTTGGCTACTTCCTTGCATCTGGGTCCCTGTTTCTTCTCCAGGGAACATTTAATTACTTGCAAGAAGTGGAAACATCKCAACAGGAAATATTAAGAATCTCTCTCTTCACTCATCCCACCTCCCACACACAGACTGGCAGGCTCAGGAGCTGATGGTGACAACATATTCATGCAAAGTTTAGAGTCATCTGAGGGCAAAATGGGAACTAAGTCTGTGATTCCACAACTATTTGAACCACGCAGTAGTACAGGCTTCTGTAAAAACAGTTCTTTCCCCTTTCTCTGCCCCAAACTATATGCTTTCACCAGCTTACCTGTGCTGGCAGCAAAGGTTTGTGCAGGGGACTGGATGAGGCAACTGATCTGGCTGAAAATTCAGCAAGATTTTTTGGAAAATTTGGAGCAGGTGTAGGAGAACTGATGTAACTGCTACAACTGGAATACAAGTGGAAAGGAAGAGGATATGCGCATTGAGTAGAGACAGGCAAGACTGCCATTTTACATGCCAGCCAAACTCAGCTATGTTTAAAGTTGCCGTAAGTCAGTCCCCCAAGCATGAGTTTTTCAATACTAAGTATTCYATAATGGGAATGAGCTTTCACTATCTTTTATCTTTGCAGATTGACTCTGAAACTATTCCCTTGCTACTGAAAATAAAAATGGAAAAAGAAAGAAAAACATTTTGAATCTGTTTTTAAAAAATGGGACTAAACTTGAAAATATGTCCAGATATTAACTGAAATGGATTGGCAAATCGATTCAAGAAATCTAATGCTGTTGGAAAAAAAATATTTCAGCATGAGAAGACTAAAAGCCCTGCAGGAAATGAACAAGCATCTTGGAAGTAATGGTAGCAATGAAAAATATCTCCACTTGTTGTGGTTGGGGAAGGCTTTATTGTATTATCTCAAATTTTTTTCTGCCTATCTTTCTGAGCATTTAGTTAAGATCTGTGAAAAAGGTAGGAATAAAAATTAAAGAAGAGCTGGAAGAAGTGAGAGTACTTGTGAATTGTATCTCAAGAATATAGAAGAGAGAGAATCAGGAGAGGTGTTTGAGAATGGGTCGTGTCTGAAACTGGGTAATAGCTTCCTGATTATGCTGAGCTCTAGATACAGAAGTCCCAAGAGTCTAAAGATACCAGAGTATTAATGATCAAATGGAGAGGAATGCAGAAAGTCTAACATTTCTGTAGCTATTTCAAGACAGCACAGACTTACAGTTCACTGTGGGTATAAACATCACACAAATCATGTAACTTAGAAATGCCTTTTTAATTTCAAAAATCACACATTTTGGGATCAACTGATTACACTTTGAACTTTAATGGAATAGTGTCCCTCAGTGGATAGAAGTGGTATTGTTAGACAACAGAACATATTATTTAACCTGCAAACATCCCAAAGCACATCAAAACTTACAAGTATGAACCTGCATTGACTTCCTGCTAATGCATCACATGACTACTATTATTGGAAGGGGAAGCATAAAAGTACTAGATTAAAAAAAAAAAAAAAAACAGGCTTTGGAAATTCCATGGAAAAATAAAATCAGGAAAAACATTAGCCTTCTCTGCCTGACAGTATATAGTAACACTGGAGAGGTCATGGTAGATTTTTTTTTCCTTCCACTAAGTGGAAGGAACTTGTTGGAGTAAAGATTTCAAAGCTACCTACTATGTCTTTTAAAGTTTCAGGGTTAACCAGGAATGCCAGCTGATTATCATTAGCCAATAACTACCACCCTATTAGGCTTCTGTGCACATAGGAGCAATGGATGTGCATTATCAGTATTATCCTGACACACTGTGGTGTTTTATAGAGAGAATTAGGTGAGTTAGTTTTTAAGGATTTTTTTTTTCCCTTCCTCTCCTATAAATCAATCCTCTCTGTTAAGTAGTTAGGAAGAGCYGCAAGTTGCTTGCCTGGGAAGTGCTTTATGTTGCTATGCTAGGTTAGATGTATGATAGCTATGCAGATTGCTGTGCTTTGCCTCTCTGTTTAGAAAACAAATGGTAGTGATCTCCAAAGTGTAATGTGGAAAAACAGAMAAATTCTCTGTTGTCACATTGACAGGCTTATGCTTATTTTCCTCTCCTAATTAGTGATCACTGCATTGGTGCAAAAAGGCTCCCAGGAATATTTTAAAGGCAGAGAGTCAGGCAAGAAAAGCCAGCTCAGGGATTTTGCTGATGATACAATRCTATGATACTGTGCCAGAATACAAACATGGATTGGTATCCTTCTCAGGTTGYACTAGCATTACTGAGATGATAATCTAGTACTTGTACACACAAGAACAGAAATACAGTAGCTTTCATGGGAAATCTTATGGACCTTCAGCTATTTAGTATGTTCCAAGGTGGCAGGTAGAGACAACAGCGGGCAAGGTTGTAATTTTGGCTTTGATAATATAATTCAGCTTCCTTGTTTCTTTTATGTCATAATTGATCTACTAAAAAAATTRATCTACTAAAAAAAATACTATTTATAAGCCCTTCCTTAGGCCCATCCATTCCCTCCTGTAAAGGAGTCAGTCAGAAAGACGTGRATGTGGAGAATCTAGCAAGGTGGTCAAACAGAGCGTGCAGCCACATACCAAAATTGAATTTGTGCAGTCAAAAAGAGAACAACTTAGCCTTGCATTTTACCTAATGTGTCATGCRAATGCTCTATGGATTGCACTTTCAGCCAGTCATATGCCTTCATGAACCCCTAGCACTATAAATAGGCCATGTGTTTTAGCATATTGGAGAACTTTCCCATAGACATCCGCTGTGTGTGCCTGGCTCCCCCTCTACACATTTGCTGCGTTTTCCCATTCTGATTGTAATATAAATAAATAAACTCTGCTTCATCCCAAAWCATATTTTATAATTCCTGCTGCAACAGTTGGGCTGGAATCTGAAATAACCACCTCCAAGAAAGGGYATGGGAATAGAGGAAGGCCTGTATGATTACATAAATCTAACAAAATGCTAAATGGTGGGGATTTTATTGCTGAAAGTCAGGAAGATACTGTTAGTACTTAGGGGAGTGATATTGAGGTTTATATTCATTTCCACAGGATCCTTAACAGTGCTGCTGTGCCTTAGCAGCAGCACTACACTATGGATCGTGACCTATACAATCATTCATAAGTCTCCAAGTGTTGTGTGTGCTCTTGATCCAAAACATGCCTCGCTGAGTCTTTTGGGCCTGAGGATCTGGAACTGGAGGAACGAGAGTTCTGTAAGTATCAATATCACTGTGTATGAAGCAATAGAATATTACCCATAACTTTGGACATGACAGTTATGTAAGAGGAGACAACTACACCCCAGTGCTGTAATTAGTTGCTTCATGGTGCAGGTGGCTATTTTACGTCAACAATGGTACTATCCCTGTTGAGCATAGCATTTCTAAATCTATATTATATTATATTATATTATATTATATTATATTATATTATATTATATTATATTATATTATATTATATTATATTATATTATATTGCCTTTGTCAGTCCTGGGGGGAAAACAGTTATTTTTAAATGCATCAGAATATGGGAATGGAATATCTAAAATTCTACTATTGCTTGATGGATATGCAGAAGGATATGGCTTGAACAATGATGACTGTTAACTACCTGGAATGGCATATATTTTATCTATGGACACACTACCAATCCTTGGTAGCCACCTAATTGGGAAGGCAGCTGTTATTTAGGGTAAATCTGTCCTGTAACTCATCATATTACTCAGCTTCATCCTTCATAATTCTCCCTCCTTCCATTTCTAACACTGATGTGGAATTACTGAAAGAGAACTGTATTTTACTGTCCTTTTCCCAGTATACAGCAGGGCATGATATGTTAAGGAAATTAGGCTGTTGTCCAGTATGCTGGAACAGCCAACCATCAAAATAAATACTGAACTAATAGCACTTTGGACAGTGATATTATAAAAACAGATAGCTCTTGACTGTCTCTTGTCCAAGCAACTCTGTACTTGTGACCTTACAGGAGCTGGGTGCTGTGCTTACATGCCTGACACCYTTGAGAATATCTCCAATTTAATCCATCATAACCTCCAAGCTTTTACACCAAATGATCCATGGTCACGACTCAGCAACCTCTTCAGAGGCTTGGAAGCTAAAATCATCATAATTGTTTGGCYGTTGTTTTTGTTCTAAAGTTAATGTAAATATGTTACATGTGGAGTGTTAACTCCTGTGACTCTCAGAACACCTGTTTACTSCTTGTGGATATGTTATCCACATCCTATTGTATATCTAAGCAGCACCTAGYTAGCACCTAATTAGCTTTAAGGCAAAGGGGTGGAATGCAAAGAAGTTAATCCTAAAGACACAGTGAGGAGGAGTTAGCAAGGCAGTCTGAACTCACATGTTGATTGGGGCATAAGCAAATAAATTATGTTTCATCTCAAAGCAGTGTACATCAACTCCCCACATATTGATGGGCTTTGCCCTGCTAACACTCACCACACAGAAACCCCAATACTTTTGTGAACCATGCACTGAAACTCATTTACTCAATAAAAAGCAATAAAAAGTAATGACTTTGATATGGTGTAATCAAGTAAGCAACGAGCAGCTCTGGAAAAGAAATGAGGAAAACTGGTTTTCTTTTGTAGTCTTGGCAATAAGATTGGCAAAGGTGCTCAGTTGAGATGTTTTTTGCCTATCTATTCAGAGATGCTAAGGATATTTCCCAGTCATGGAGGCTTCACCTGGTGCAGCTCCTGCAAAAATTTAACTGGAAAAAAAAAGGGGACTGTAGGGACAATAGCTCTACAAGCAGTGGTTGTCACAGTGGGCAAATTCTCCTTCAAAGTTAGAGTTATTCAATTATGCCATCTCTTATTGCATAATGTTTTGCCTTTTTTTTCCTCTTATTATGCAATAAATGTAATGTTCTCTAATTTTTATCCTATATAGTATTCCTATGGGGCTCTGACATTTTGCAGTTGTGTGTGTTATTTCGGCTCCTTGTTTTCTGAGGCTTTTGTAAGAATGGGAAAGCAGCACAGCAGAAGAAGACTCTTGCATCAGAAGCGTGCCTTGCAGAGCCAGTCTATTTTGTAAATAATTTGCTGGCTTCTAGCCATTTATGGTCCCACAAGAAGCTCCTGAAAGCTATGCTAATATATTGATTTTGTAAAGGAATTTTCAATATCCTCTATAGGTTCTAACTTATAAAAGTTAGGACGTGTGCATATGAAAATGTATGGTACAGATGTTTTCTCCTTACAACTGGTTTTGTGGCTTCATGGAAAGGAAGAGAGTGGAGAGGCTGTCTATGCTTAAAATACATATGAGATGCTGCCTTCTGGTTTCACACTTGACAGGATCAGCATTGATATGGTTGAAAGACTTGCTGTCTGTAGGTGCAAGCTGGCCTACAGCCAGAGAGGGAAAAARTAGCTCCAGAAAAAGTCCACAACTTCATACAAATACAAGGCTGCTCTTGAAACAAATATGAAAGTTTAGAAATGTTGATCATTCCTCACAGGTGATGGCATTRGAGCAGAGGCTCGTGCCGTGAGACCTTTCCGAGAGGAGCTAAGCCAGGAGCCCAAAGTCAMATAGTGCAGTGCAGGCACCCAAGCAGGGTGGGCAAGGCACCCCCAGCCTCACGTGATGCAGACACTGTGGGGACACAGTCAGCAGAGGAAGGTGGTCCAAGCTCAGGGTCTCCAAGAGCCGCCCCCAAGGAGCGTGGGGAGTCAGAAAGGGCATAGCGGGGCGCAGCAGCCAGCAGCTGCAGCCAGCATAGCGGGGCGCAGCAGCCAGCTCCCCAGCATACGGCAGTCACTCCTCAGAGGGCTGTGTTACCACTCACTGAGAAGGAGACAGGCACCCAGACTGAGCAACTGGTAAAGCATGCAACCGCCCAGGTGTTGAGCTGCAAGGARTGCCACAGCCTGACGCTTCCTATGGATGGCCTGGGGSAGGGCAACTGTGTGAGGTGTGAGCAGGTGGAGGACCTGCTCAGCATGATAGCTGAGCTAAAAGAAGAGACTGGAAAGCTGAGGAGTATCTGTAAGTCAGAGAAACAGGGGCAGGCACCAGGAAGTGCCCAGCAATGAGTTTCTACAGGTTCCATCCCTCAGCCAACACAATWAGAAAGAAGACAGCACAGGAATGTATGGATAAAAGTCCAGGCTTGAGGGGGCAGGAGAAAGGCTTCACCCATCTCACCCTACAGGGTACCCCTAGCCAACAGGTCCCTGGAGGAGGTATGGCAATCAGTGGACAGTAAAAGAGTGAGTCCYCCAAAAAAGGTATTACAGTCAGAAAGGCAAATCCTAGGTATTGTCACCATGTGCAGGAAGGAGAAAAGGCGGGTTATCGTTGTGGGAGATCCCTTGATTCAGGGAWCAGAAGGTCTGATAACTAGATCTGACTCTCCTYTAAGAGAAGTCTGTTGCCTTCCTGGAGCCCAGATTAGGGATGTCACCAGGCAGCTTCCCAGCCTGGTTCGACCTACAGATTATTATCTATTGATGGTCCTACATGTGGGAAGAGACGAAGCAGCAACGCATAGTCTGAGGGCAATCAAAAGGGACTTGAGGGAATTGGGGCAGATGATCAGAAACTCAAGCATGCAGGCCATTTCTGTTCCATTCTTCCTGGTGCTGCCAGCAATATAGAAAGGAATAGCAGGATATTGTCCATCAACATGTGGCTCTGTGGCTGGTGTCATCGCCACAACTTTGGTTTCTTTGGTAACACCAGGCAGGATGATATGCAACGGGATCCATCTTTCTCAAAGGGGAAGAGAGTGCTGGATTGTGAGCTAGCAGGGCTCATCGGGTGGGTTTTAAAMTAGATTCGAGGGAGGAGGGGTATCAATGGGGTAGCACATGAGATTATAGCTGATAGCCTGTTAYATCACTCACAGCACCCTAAATGCCATAGCCTATAAAGGGCACGCTGAGACTGAAGAGGCCAAATGGCAAAATATGAGAACTTCTGGAGGCCCACATAGTCAGGTTGTAGCTSCCCCGACAAGAATGAAGAAGTACACTAGGAGTCCAACTTAAATGCCTCTACGTACATGCACACAGCATGGGTAATAAACAAGAGGAATTGGAGGTGCGTGTGCGGTTGCAGGGCCRTGATCTCATTGCAATTACTGAGACATGGTGGGACAGCTCTTGTGACTAGAACGTGACCATGGAGGCCTTTAGGCTTTTCAGGAAGGACGGGTCAGGAAGGYGAGGTGGCAGAGTTGCTCTTTGTGTGAGAGAGCAACTGGAATGTATGGAGCTCAGCATAGGGGAGGATGGAGCGCAGGTAGAGAGCCTGTGGGTGAGGATTAAAGAGCAGGCCAACAGAGGTGACACTGTCGTGGGAGTTTAATACAGGCCTCCTGACCAGGATGAGCAAGTGGATGAGGCCTTCTACAGGCAGCTGCAAGAAGCCTCCCARTCACAGGCCATAGTCCTCCTGGGGGACTTCAACCACCCTGATGTCTGCTGAGAAGCTATGGGATAATCACACAGCCAGGAACATTACAGATAACTTCTTGGTGTAGGCGGTTGAAGAGGAGTGACACTGCTAGATCTGATACTAACAGAGATGGTCTAGTGGGAAATGTGAGGTTTGGTGGCAATCTTGGCTGCAGTGACCACAAGATACYGGAATTCACAATCCTGCGTGGAGGAAGCTGGACAAGAATTAGGATTGCAACCGTGGACTTCAAGAGAGCCAAYTTTGACCCCTTCAGAGAACTCCTTGGAGCAGTCCCCTGRGTCAGGGTCCTAGAAGGAARGAGGGTCCRGGAGAGCTTTGGAGAGGCYGCACCTGGAGTACTGGGTGCAGTACTGGGCTCCACAATATAAGAGGGATGTGGAGCTTCTAGAGAGTGTCCAGCGGAGGGCAACAAAGATTAAGGGAGTGGAGCATCTATCCTACGAGGAGAGACTGAGTGAGTTGGGCCTGTTTAGCCTGGAGAAGAGAATTATCAACATGTACAAATACCTGAGGGGAGAATGAATGGAGGAAAGGGCCAAGCTCTTCTCAGTGGTGGCCAGTGATAGGACAAGGGGCAATGGGTATAAGTTGAAACATAGGAAGTTCCATCTCCATATGAGGAGGAACTTCTTCAGTGTGAGGGTGCCAGAGCCCTGGCACAGGCTGCCCRGGGAGGCTGTGGAGTCTCCTTCTCTGGAGATCTTCCAAACCCACCTGGATGCYGCTCTGTGCCCCTTGCTCTGGGTGTCCCT